CGACCCAATCCGATTTGAGCTACTCTACCTCATTCGATGCTGAACGCAGCTGCGATAAATACACTTGAGATGCACAGGCGTAGAACTGAGGGTTTCCGACTGTGCATTCGTGCTGTAGCCTACGACTACGGCCGATGATTTTAGCCTGGGAGTACAAGAGGACTTCTGTTACGCGATACGGACTTCTTCTTTTTATTAGTCAGACCGTTAAGAATTCTGGAAAGGCTACAAAATATGGAATGGAGCAAATAACATCGGAGACAAAGAGAAGCTGTCACTATGGTGACGCAGGGAGAGAATCGAGTTAAGTAATAGGACTCCTGTCACAAGCACCGACTGCGATGTCTCCTAAAGGCTCAGGAAAATGCACATCTCAAGAAAGTAATTGACGTCTGTCCTAGGTATGACAAACAAGTAATGCAGTTAAATCTTCTCAGTGCGTGAGCCTCGTCGGTTGGTAAACATCGCCCAGCGGTTAATAGATTTTAATAATGTTGGTCGTCGTGTACGCTTCAGATCATACATTAGCTAAAAGTATTGACTTTCTCGTTAAAGCGGCTTTTGTTTACGTCTTGCCCCTGCCAAAAATTAAAACGTTCTCCTCTGCTGAATTCAACAACCCAATACAATCCCACCCGTCTATTCGGGCGTCTCATCCGTGTTCGGCCACAAACGAGCCACCATTTTGTACTAAACTCGTCAAGGAATTGCCTGAAATATATACGAATGTCTACGATCATTGACGTGAAGTACTACTGGGCCCTGATGATCTTTCCCCTGCGTCTCGTCCCTGGACCATATTTCATAATTACGAATGTCCTCTGTTACGGAACTGCGAGTGCAAGGCCAAGTTAATTCTCGTGAACGCTGTTCTTTATTTCAGGAGAATTGCTACGTCCAAGTTCCAGCCGACGTACGCACGCCAGGCTTATCCGTGTTTTGACGAACCCGGATTCAAATCTACTTTCAAAGTGCGCCTCGTGAGACCGCGAGATGGCTACATCGCTCTGTCGAACATGGAGTATAAGGTGAGTGTGTGGTCATTGAGACATCAGCTTCCTGGGTTCTCCCTCGCCTCAGGCTGCGATCCACGTGATGTAACGCAAAATGTATCTATCATTTGAAAATGATGAAGTACCAGGGCAATAACCCATGTGAAGAGGCGAATGGTGGGATGGGAAGAACGTGTAGCACGCAGGAGGCACAAGGTGCATACGAATCTTTTGTTCAGGAAACTGATTTAGAGACCAAGGCGTAGACGGAAGATGATTTTTAAATAAACGCGTTGTGAAGTTGTGGACCGGGCCCTGGGTCCTAGTCGCAGAGTTCTGTGCCAAATTTCTGGAACTTCGGGCGCCACACGGGGCAGGCACGTGCTGATCGAGGTAAGTAGCCTGAATCTGAGCTCTACACGTCAGCGACACCCAAAATAGGGGAGTGCGCTGTTTAATAATCTTTTCCGACGCACTGATCAGTGTCCCATTTGCTCGTTCGGTGCAGACTCACGCGGACGATTCCCCAGAAGCCGGGCTGACGACCGTGGAGTTCATGGAGTCGGTGCCAATGGTCACGTACCTCAGTTGTTTCATCGTGGCCGACTTCGAACGCCTGCAACCCGTCACTGTGTCTCAGGGATTCCCCTTCAGCGTCTATTCGACTCCCGCTCAGGTCAACAAGACTAAATACGGTCTGGAAGTCGGTGTCAAAATCACAGAGTACTACATTCAGTACTTCGGAGTACCTTACCCTCTGCCCAAACTAGGTAAGTGAGTGCCTCGGGTGTTTCGTGCTCAGACGCCGACATACTCGTAGAGTTTGTTCAGTAAGGCGGAGACTGGCGAAGATCTGGACCACGGATTGATGTCTCTGCTCGCCATCACGTCCACACAGCCTCTAGGGCCCACCGGTGGGCTCTGGGGCTCTTTTCCCTATCGGAACTGATATCTGCGCAAGCGCAGGGGTACCAACAGATATGCAAGTAAGTAATCGTGTAATGCTATTTGCATATCACGATACGTACTGGAGGAACTTGATTTTGTCGTGGTGGATTTTTAGAGTTCTGACGGGTGACTAGCTGGTTTTAATATTTTTCAGACCTCCGGGTTCATCTTCATGACTTCCCTCCGCAAACTATTGCATTGCTGGCAATCGCAAAGTGTCCCTAGTTCTTCAGTTTGTATGCTACCACAGCAGCCCCCATCTATCTCTGTATTGATTGCGTCATCGTACTAATTAGAACCCATTAAGACACGAGCAGATTTGCTAAAACCCTTCATCTCGTTCAGAATTATTTACAAATATTACATAACCGACCAACTGTAGTCACTGTTCTGACATGTGTTTGTTTGATAAACGCGATTCAACCCTAATGTGCCTTTCACACATTCGATTGAAAACAAAAATTACGAAGATACAACATTACGATCCCTCAGTCAAATTGACGAAAGACTTTTGTGTAAACTGACTTGGCTTTTGTTAAACTATTAAAACTCCTTTAACAATTCGTTAATAAATCGTAAAAAAAACTTGTATATACGAAGAATTTAACGTTCTTCACAAACTAACAGAAGCAAAAATAGTTTAAATCGGTAAATTTTCTGCATTGTAATAAATTGTCGATCAAACAATTCGTGTTCTGGAACTGTGGCCTCGAGCTGCAACAGTGAGACGTACAATGCATGACTGAAACACTTACAGTAAGCAGCCCTCGTGTGTTGTGATGTGCACAGACCTGGCCGCGATCCCCGACTTCGTGTCAGGCGCCATGGAGCACTGGGGCCTCGTAACCTTCCGCGAAGTGAACCTGCTGTACCAGGAGGGTGTCAGCTCCACAGGCAACAAGCAGCGTGTCGCCATGGTGATTGCTCACGAGCTCGCTCACATGTGGTTCGGAAATCTGGGTGAGTAAAATTCTGCAAATAAAAACAAATTGGGCCTTACAAATATGACACGAATTCCAGCTTATATTACGTAAATGTTATTTTAGGCCTGCCTTCGAAGATGCTCGTCATTCAATTCAAGATTATAATATTCATAAATAACAAGTTAGGAGTGTAAGAACAGCGTAGTAATTCAGGCGCTAGTGGGGAATTCCGCATCGCGGCCTTTAGCCTCTGGGAATGGCCCTTTAGGGCGCATTGTCATCCCCGCGGGGCGCCTATTAAAACTGTCCAGTCCGTCCGTGTGTACATTTCCAGTATTGTTATAATAGTGTAAAACTCCACAGTAAATAATTCCATGAAAATCAGTCCAGCCGTCCCAGAGTTCTTACATGCGTGAAATCCACATCGGAATGCAAAGTTTCCACACCCGCGTTTGGTATTAAAGTGTTTAGAGTGTCATACCAACATTGTAGACACTTAAGTCTGTTCCTAGTCCCACACTGGTGAGTCAAGTACACCTCCGACTTAGTAGGATAAAAACTATATAATTTTTTATCGTTTCATTCTTAATTGTAATAAAGTGGTCTTAAAATACACCCCACAAAAACACCGATCACAGTCAAATTTCAAATGCATTTTGAACTGCACCCAGCACTTTAAATGTACTGATATGTGTTAGTCACAAAACAGGTCAGAAGAAACCAAATTCTAACTTTCCTTGAACTTATTTCAGTGACGCTGAAATGGTGGGACGACCTGTGGCTGAATGAAGGATTTGCCAGTTACGTGGAGTACAAAGGTGTCGACCACGCACATCCAGACTGGCAGATAGTACGTATAAATATATGACTATGATTCAAAATTGTCGGCTTCCTCTAACGTACCTCGGTCTTTCAGTGCACGCACCGGTGGCGATCAGATGTTTCTAGGTACGTTGGAGAAATATGCAAGAGATTATGTATAAAATATATTAATCAATTTTATGCGTAACTTTAACTACTAACAGATTTACGTACATAAAGTAAATGAGGTTGGTTAGGCCTACTTATGGCTGCCATCATCAGGGTCTCACACAGAGATAAGATTGTGGCGAAGTAAATTTAACTGGCTCACATGGCCTACTGATGACGCACAACTCTGATAAAACGACCGAGGCAGCTGACTCCATGGATCAGCTCTTGAAAAGCTCAGAGTTCCTCTCATCTTGTATATAAATTTCCCATCTTCTATGGAACCCAAAGGTTCACAGGAGCCCAACTCTTCTTCCTACGCTAATCTATCCTCATCGTAGAAACTTCTGTGTGTGCGTGGCAGTACGCTCACGTAGAAGTGCACCGAGTAGAGCGAGATTGGAACGGCATACTCTCTGGAGTTCTTCAAGCCACATCATTTAGGCCATTGTCGCACTAATATGGTACTGGCTCATTGTTGCGTCGCGGGCCATTATTGCACTGTCAGTATTAATTGTTCTGCAACAGTGGCCTAAGATCAGTTTTTATGTAATGTGATCTGTTCCCATTGTTGTGCAACAGTCAGTTCCATCAAAGATATTTATGATCCGAAGGTTTCGCTGCAGTTAAACTTGATAAAACCTCCTCGGGCAATCAGCCGCATCAACTGGTTACACGTGTTAACCACTTGATGCGGCTAACTGCCCAACGTTTTACTGAACAGTGGGATTTGTCCGTTCATTATTCCATTCACATTATTTTACTTAAGATTAAAATGTGAGCTTATTCTAGCATCGTCCTTAATGTATCTTCTTTACTACTTCATCCTTATTAGAACATTATATGACCATCTTCTTTCATGTTTGTCTGTCAGCTGGACCAGTTTCTGATAGATGATTTGCATCCTGCGCTGATCCTGGACGCATCTCTCACATCACACCCCATCGTTCAGACTGTGGGTCATCCCGATGAAATCACCGAAATATTTGACACTATCTCGTACAGTAAGGTGAGCCTAGTCACTGACATTTCCTGCACTTCGGTGTGTTCTTTGTCAACGCTGCAGGTGTAACCTGCTTAATAATGTAGTCATCAGGACCTCTTAGTTTCTACTTGATGGCACAGATAGAAAGTTCTTGATGCTTAATCACGGGAGCCAGTGCAGGAGTTCAATGTGCCTTCCCTTATGCCCTGACACCCACAAACCCCACCTCAGTCTCTGTCCCACGACGTTCAGCAAGATTAAGACAGTATAACCCTGCATTACTAAACATTACATAGCAGCAAATAAGGATGTCTGAGAATGATGAAATGGAAAGTAGACAGAAGGAAGTTGTCTTTGTACATTCCTAGTGAAGACATTGTAACCTTAGGACTGACCTCCAGGGCAATAATTGAATGTAAAATCTTCCCCATATGAAGTGAGAGCATTAACATTTGTTTGTATCACAATGAGGATCAGCCTGTAGATCACATTGACACAAAACATGAACAGGCAGTCTCTTGGCACAAACGCACACTTGAGACCTACGATTTGTATCCAACTTCATGTCTAAAATTGTTATATTCTTCGTGTTAAAGGGAGCCTCAGTAATACGAATGCTTGAAGATTTCCTGGGTGATGAAGAATTTAAAAATGGCATCACTAGTTTCCTGAACCATTTCAAGTTCGCAAATGCCGTGACTCAAGATCTGTGGAATGAGTTGCAAGTGGTAGGAAAAGATGTGAACATCACCCATGTCATGGACACATGGACCCGACAGATGGGTTACCCTGTGGTCACCGTGACACGGGGGCAAAACGGAGCTATCACTCTAGAACAAAAACGCTTTCTGTCAGATCCAGACGCCAACACTACAAACAGTTCCCCTTACGGGTGAGTAATGACAGTAATCATTATTATAGGAAGCGTAACTGAGTCAGTCAGCCACTGCTATACTACACAGTGGTCCCAATTTTCATACACTGTGTCTTCATATCACAGACCGATACAATCAGTGACAAAAATAGAAATACGAGACTATATGTGTTCTTCTACCCGCACTTTGTCTAATGGATCCTAGACCCTTTGTTCGTATTCTGCATGAAATGTGACAGCAACCATGTTCTTAAAGCAATGCTCAAGATATTTTATTATAGTCTGCCGTTCTTTTAGTGCTTGGCTGTTGTCAGGCACATAAATAACTAACGAAATAAACAGATGAATGGGTTATTATTGGTTAGGTTAGCAGCACATTGTGGTCCAAAAATAGATGATTACTAAACCGAACTTTCATTTGTAATGTTCTTTTATGGTTCTGAATTACACCTTGTTCTACGTGTCAGCATTGTTCCATGCACACACAGAGAAGAAAGTTTAGTCACTTAACTTATTGTTAGTTGTATTATTTCAGACATGTTTCAGTCACACACTAACAATTTCATTTCCTGTGTAGGTACAAGTGGGATATTCCAATTACTTATATTACATCACAATCAAAGGCTGTGAAGAGGACCTGGCTTCTCAGTGAGGACACATCGTGTGAGTATTAATGAACGTATTATAAATCCAGGACCAGCTTAGATGTGTCTGCATACGCAAAGTATGCAAAAGAGATTACACCAAACAGTTGCTTCGGAGGTACTTTACGACACTGTATCAACCTCAGGTGTTTTTCAGCAGCAAATTAGATGATTACTGTAAAGTGAAATGATCATGAGGAATTCTGGGACATGGCCTGCGTTGAGGTGGCACATACTCAATATCACGTTCAGTGAGTGAAGAAACTCATGAGGAATTAGAAGAGAAGAAACTTTGCTGAAGGAAGTCTGCTTGGTTAATGGAAAAACAAAAGTAGCAATATGTTATAGCTAAAAATGGATTCTTATTTATGTGCAGGAGTTTGGGAAGATAATTACTTTGTTATGAGAAGCTTTGGCAATTTTACTGAAGCTGCCTTTAGAATCCTAAGCAATTCTACAAGAAATTACAAAGAACACATTTACAAAATGGAGTGCAAACTTCTAGTCTTGCATAATTATTATTTCAACTGTTGCATTAGTCATGGGAACGGATGTACATTCACAAGTGTGTCACTGAATTAAGGAACTGCTAACAATGTAATCTGTTACACTGACAAACTATTCCATAATGAATACTCTCACCTGATAGGGAATGCTCCTGATAAAATGAGTAATGTAAATACAGAGTAATTCAGATAGTTCATAATGCAGATTCTTTTAAACTATTTTCTCATCATTTTAATAAAACAATGCAAAAAAAATATTCATCCATTCTGAAATGCATGTTTAGACTAAGGGCATTCTTTCTTTCATAACATAAAACAAACACATAAAGGAAAATGTGTATGTGTTGCATGATTCATTCCTGAACCTGGTATAAAAGCTGTTTGGAAAATATAATTGCTATAGGCCTAAAATTAAATTCATTTCCAGCTTCATCTCCAAAAAAAATTACATCATGTGAAAAATATGACATAGGCCTGAACATGCCTTATCATTTCTAAGTGTAATTCTAAACATTTTTGAATGTGGTACATAAATGCGAGTTGAGGAAAGATAATTATGCAGTGTAAATATTCTTACTGCTGATTAGTTTTATTAATGATGCAATTTATGACATTACAATGTAGTATATTTATTGTTTATTTGCTGCATCGACCAAAAAGTGAATGTTTGGCCCTGGCATGTACATAAATGCAAACAATACAAAAATAAATTCAGTGTGCTTCAACCCGGTGCCACTTTTCCACCAGCCACTGTCATGTTTTTTGTTTTTGTTTCTGTTCACAGTGCAAATTGAAATTCCACATAGTGTGACATGGATTAAAATAAACTGTAAACAAAAGGGATATTATAGAGTAAACTACGATGATCAAAACTGGGAGAAACTCATCGAGTTAATGAAGAATGACTTAACGGTAAGAACTACATCATGATTTCAATGAGCACATCTAGCTTTCTCATCATGGGCAGTGGTCATGAAATTACATATCATGTTATTACCAGCAGATGAAAAGAGTTAAATTTGAAATCAAGGCTAATGTAATGAATAACTAAAAATATGCATCATTCTTAACAAGGGTAAGATTTGAAAGCCTCAAAAGAAATTTAACTTTTAATATTCCAAGAATATAAGCATTATTGAAACATATGAGTAATGACTATGAGAACGGAAGTTCAAATACAAAATTCTGTGATACCAAAAACACTGTGACCAAAGTGACAATTGTGTTTCTGTGACATCGTCCCTGATTTTTTCTGCAAATGAAAAACGTAGTAATTCTGAATAGGTACATTTCAACACCCGTTTTTGTATTAATAACATACAAACTGATAACTCACTGTTGCAAAGTCCATATGGCTCCTTGCTGGACACTGTACACATACTATCAACTTTTTATATTTTGTGTCTGCAAAACATTAGCTCTATCAGAACATTATTCGCCAGAAAATACCCCCCTTCGTCGTACCCTTGTGGGCAACTACGGAAACAATAATACAAAAACGCATGCACCATACATCAAATTCAAAGATATTACAAAGAAATATGCTTCCAGGATGCGCATTACAAGCTTATGGGTTTTCTTTAAAAACTGACTAATTTAAATATATCGTAGTTAAAAGTGGCTGTAACGTAACTATTTGTGTACTTACAAACGGTTGCCTGAGTCAAGAATTAGGATGTTAATAAAATAACTCCACTGACTATACAGAAAAATTAAGACTTAAAATTAGTCTACCTTGCTCATTTCCACTTATGGAATTATTTTCTGGGGAAACTCAACAAAAAACATATTTTACAGTCAAAGAGAAATCATTAGAACACTTACAGGCACTTAAAAGGAGATCCTCATGTAAGGAATTGTTTAAGAAATGTAATATTCTTCCACTAGCCGGTGAATTCATGCTCTCATTATTATTTGTAGTAGAAAATACAAAAATGTCAAACAAAATCACATATTCACAATCTCAATACAAGATACAGATATAACCTACAAGTACCAGACACTAAACTCAGTAGACATCAAAAATGATTTTACTGTACTATAATTAAGCTATTCAATTATCTTTCCCCACCAAAAATGTCAGAATCACGATATGAAGACGTTAAAGTCAGCACTAAAAGAGTATCTCCTATCTCACGTCTTGTACTCCTTTAACTATGTTCAAATGTGCCCCACATGTAGCACTAAAACTGACTCCATGTCCTTTCACTATAAGTAACCTTAAAGAAAATAATACATAACAATAAAAATGGAAACCAAACATTTATTGCAGAAAAACACACATTTCAAACTACAGAATAGCGTAATCAAACTCACCTTTAATTCTTTTCAAACTGCAAGAAGAGTAACAAATTTACTTTTCCACTTTCCTTCATTACCTTTGAAGTACAGACTAAATTGGAGGGAAATATCTCTTGTTATTCAGGATTGCCACACTCAGAAAAGACAAAGAATTCATAACACTTTAAATTCTTTGGTTTAGAATTCAAACTGCTATAATCTGTGTCTTGTTTATTGTACCCCATCTACCAAATATCAAGACAACTACTACAACCATTTTTATTGCCCTTCTTACACATTGGCACAATAAAAGATTCCTTCCATTGCTCCATTAATTCTCCCTTATACCAAGATGGAATTAATAACTTTGTGGATCAAATAAAACAGTCTATTACCCCCCTTTTTGCATCAGTTTTGCCAGAATTTGATCAATACCCTGACAATAATAAGTTTTTAACTTTTCAGTAGCAATCCCAACCTCAGAAGTGTTGGGCTTTGGTACTAATAGCTCAGTTGCATGCATTTATGTTTGCCTAACCATGTTAACCCTGAGCACATTCAGTAACTCTTCCATCTGATAGCAGATCAACACATATGTCTTTTACCACATATAATCATGACTAAGATGCATTACTTTTATACACTGAAAATTATAAACTAAAATATATTACAAAAGAACAGAATTTATTTACATTCCACAGATCCCTCATAGTACAAGCCAAGGATGTGGAACATGAACATGAACACTTTCTTTTAACATCCCTGATTATTTCCAATCTGTCCTACATGGGCATTCAGTAAATCTTCTGATATTGTCTCATGACTTGCGGAATACATGTCCTGTGACAATCTTCCTTAATAATTAACTTAACAGTATGTTACTTATGGCTTGAGTGGGATTTGAACCCACAGTCCCAGTTACCAAGCGGCACAAGGCCCACGCCTCTGACCGCGTGACCCCAACATGAACACTTAGTACAATAAATATAAATGTATACTTATTTGCATAAATATTTAGTTATTTAATAATTTTACATTGAAGTAAATTCTTCAACAGAGTATAACAATGGAGAAAACCTTCTAGGTTATGTTCAAATACTAGGCAACAAGAAAAACACAATGTCAAAATAGTTCATTAGTTTGTATAATTATTAATTTATGATTTATGTTCTCTTTTATTGGAGATGGTAGCACATTAAGAAAATTTATTCACTGGTCTCACTGTGTGTCACCAAGTGATGGCTAAACTATTATGTTCAGTCTTTAAAATTAATGATACACAATGAATATTCCAGGCTCTTAGTATTCCGGATCGAGCGCATCTATTGGACGACATCTTCAGCTTAGCAGAAGCTCGTCTTGTCAGCTATCATCTGGCAATGAACATGACTAGGTACCTTGCAGCAGAAATGGAATACATCCCATGGAGAGTAGCATCGACTAAATTCAATACACTCAACAGACTGCTAATTTCATCACCATCATATGGAAAATTTAGGGTAAGAAAGTATAGTACTACATACTGAACAACGATCCCTTTCTGAATTTCTGGTTGTCTTATATGTCTCCCCAAGTGTGCTATGTTGTACTATACTATGTTTTATTATTCTACAAATGATGTATCTCACTAGAAAAATAAGGTTGAAAACACTTCTGCATTTTCTTTGATAATTCATTCTACATATGCTGTTTACTCTTATGTTTTTTATGGAACATTTGAAAATGATATTGGTTACCACAGATATGCTTAAGTGCAAAGATAAGTATTTTACAAATAAAATCTAGCATGGAAAATATTAAACTATATTGTAATGGGCTAACTAAAAGAAATAATGCTATGAGTTGTAAAAACATTCTTGTGTAGGAATACTTAAATTATCACTGAAATATACAGGATGATAAATAAATTACGTTTCATACTATCAATAAAATATTTTTCACAGAAAATTAGCAAGTAGTGGTCTTAATGTAATGCAGTGCATGTAGAACATTCCAAAGCAGAGAATGCTGGGCACGTGATATTAAGCTGTCTGTTGCGTGTGAAGCCTCTAAAAGTCTAAGCCTCTTTACTGATAAGTATACACTGAAAGGCAAATATTCCCTGATTATCCAGTTCTGAATAAATCAATGATACGCTGATTCACTCATTGTTTTTTTTATAGAAATTTTCAACAAATATCCACACAGATGAACTGAAGGATATTGTCATTTTAAACTTTATTTGTGATTGTGCATGTTGCAGTATTATGTAAGATGTCAATAACACTTAAATAATTTCATTTTGTTTCTAACTTGGTACTGTATTTTTGTCTCACACAGAAATATGTGCAGTCCTTAGTATTGAATACATACAAGAAAGTTACTATGGCTGTTTCAGATGATGATTCTCATGTACTGCGGTAAGTTCAGAAAATATTAGAAAGTACTTTCAGAAGTAAACCAAACTCACAGTAAGTATCTGATGTAATTAACTATAAAATCTGGAAATTCTCTTCATATTTGCACTTTGTGGTCTTCAGGTTGTTAAGACCAATGGTGGTGGGGTTAGCATGCCATGTGGGAGTACCAGAATGCATTGATGAAGCTGTGGCAGTTTTCAAGAAATGGATCACAAACGCTACATCTGTGCCAAAACCACATCCCGACCTTCGATCCATAGTGTATTCATGTGGTGAGTATGAAATCTATAACAGATCTCTCCATGGTTCACTTTCTTTTTTGCTTAGGCCTAATGATCATATGGCCTTGCTCTAAAAATAAGGTCCAGTATTATATCTAGTGCCCAACACCTGCATTGAGCAAGGGAGAGAAAAATCAGTTTTCTAAAATAATTCATCAGAAGATGAGTGAACTATGTGGCTAAAGCACAAAGAAAAAAATATGTATACAGGTTGTACAACTTTATGTTTGACAGAGAAGGCCGATATCATACTTTCACCGTCATATTTGAATCTGTTAACGCATTTCTCAACCACCCATTCAGGTATGAGACTGGGCGGCAGTGAGGAGGACTGGAACACAATGTGGAATCTGTACTTGAATGAGACAGATGCTCAGGAAAGAACCAAACTGCTTCATGGACTGGCTCATTCTTCAGAGCCCTGGATTCTGCAAAGGTAAGGAGAGATACTGAGGCAATTTAAGGGGATTTCATTACCAATTCCTTTGTTAAACACTACATTAAATGTTTGTTCACATTATGAGGAGGGCACAGCCATGTGTTCTCTTATTTTTCTTCAAAACATCTGAAAGATTTTGGTGACTTTTTATATTGCATCTGCATTTAAATGAATATTTTTGCTCTTTGTATTGAATCACATGAACTTCCAATATCTCCAGCAAATCATATTTAAATTATCAAAATTTTTTACTACTTAAATACATCAACTACATATTTCTTTTAAAAAAATTAATGCCAGTAATTTCTATACACTGCAGACACAAAATGGTTTCAAACGTATTCACTTAAATTAAAAAGTTAGACATTATTCTTCCTTATTTAATTATACAGGATGCACCAGAAATACTTGATGATTTTTATCCCATCAGGCAATTTGTCCTTTGTGAAAAGGATTTTGCTTGGATGGCTCTCTGGGATTTGAACCCAGAAGGAGCGAGATCGTTTTGGCTGATGGCCACTGTGCAAAGAACATTATAGCCATCCACTGCTACTTCTGTACACAATAAAATACTGTATTGTATATCTTATTTTTGCAGATATATACAGCTTGCCAAGTTTGAAAGTAATGTGAGATCACAAGATTTCTTCTCTGTGCTATCTTATATCTCTCAAAATCCTATTGGAGTGTCCATTGTGTGGGACTTCATCAGGTAAGACAGTTCTAATAAAAATCATAAAATATCCCACACATTCTGATATAACTTCAAATATGACAGTTCAGTTTTAATATATTATTATGATCTATAATCATATCTATAGAAGATTTGCTAAGTTAAATTAATATGAAGTGTCACTTTGTTTAAGGGTCTAATTCAGCCTTTACATACAATTCTTATCTTTTGAGTTCTTTGGCAAATTATCACAAAACTTTATATGACAGAACTTCCATTACAAAGCATTTGTGTGTGCATTTAATTTACTTATGTATCTAGATAGTAGATATTATAGGTAAAAGAAATGCACCTTTCAAAGCCAGCCTGATGCTGCATTTGCATATTCCTTTTATGGTCTTCATTTTAATTCATATTTGTGAGCTGGGGTGGTTCGTTCAGTGAAGTGACTGGCTACAGGCTGGGATTTGACAGGCGTTTTCCTCATAGCTAACATGTCAACACTGGCTCTGGTACACACACCCTTCTATACAATGTGTGTAATGAAGTGGCAGGAGTGTGAAAATGACCAATGACTCCCATTCAGTATTGTGGTTAAAAAATCTTTTGAGTTTTACTTCTTAACTTCCCCCATAAACTCACACAGGGATGCACCTGCACGTTATCATTGATTCAAATGCAAATCACCACATCTATTCTTGACATAATCCAAGATGTTTAAGAAAGGAATAATACTTGAACTATGAAAATCAGCACTGCAATGCAATATATTTCAAATGCCATTCGGCCAGTTTCATAAACCATTTTTTGAATTATTGTGATGTTACTTGAAAATCAGCTTCTATACCAAGTGAAATATACATTTAAATAAGGTAATGAATTAGCTTCTAAAGGAGGACTCTACCCCATGAGTATGTGCAATGTCAAAGGTGATGGACTGTAACGTAGGTGGTATTCTATTGGCGTAAGTGGAGCTAACACAGGGCACTGAAAAAAAAAAACATGTTGCTATGTGAGGAATTCCACTTTAAAATAATGTTTACAGGACAATATCTTCTTATTGAAATTTAATCACTGGAAATAATTTACAACACAGATAATTAAATGAATCAGCCAAATACTGTGGTTAATGTTCATTGGTTACTTGTAAGTGGAAATTATTCTTTGCATGCAGAGATGAATGGCAGTATCTAGTAGAGAGATTCTCCTTGAATGATCGCTACCTTGGCCGTCTGATCCCTACCGTCACAAAAAGTTTCACATCTGAAGTGAAACTGAGAGAGGTAAGTATAGCTTGGCTTTGCTGACAACTTTAGATCTTAAAAAAATATCTTTTTACAGTAATACACAAAATCAAAGAAACTTAGTGTTTTTTATTGCAGTTACATTAAGTGCTATTCCCATAAGTGTTCAGTGTAACACTGGAATTGTTGGTTTAATCTTTATCATTCAAGAGTACATGACTTACATTCCCATACTATGGGCAGCTGGCCACACTTAGCAGTTCTAGAGTCAATGGTTTAGCAGTACACTATGTTTTTCAGCGGAATTGGCGGCTGAGTCAAGTTCTGCTCTTTGTGAGCAACCAATCAGCACAAAGGAGGTCTGCTGATAAGCAGCGAGACCTCAGTCTGTTCAGAAACCGCGTGGTAGAAGCAACGGCAGCCACACTGCGTTGTTGCCAATTCTTACACGTTCTTTGCGTAGTGTTGTGGAATCCAATGTTCCGCGATGCTACATCTGGCACCACTATGTTGTTTCCTCACCATCTCGCTCCTCCACCTACCTCCACTACTTCCTACCATGGCACAGTACATGTGATTGGTGCGCGCTCCAGCCACCAATTCGGCTGAAAACAGTTATAGTGTAACACTTGACCATGCATAGGCTGCAACATATGGATGATAGAGGTTAATCCTGTTTAAAGCATGGACGTATATTTGTGTTTCTGTGATATATTTACCTGTACGTGCATTGCAAATGTCATATCACTTGTCAAAGGGGTACCTACTAATGATTCATGGTTCCAAAGTGCCAGATCAGTGAAACATGTAGTTTGAATAAGAGAAACTTGTGCACAAAATATGTACATTGACAAACCTCATTGAGGCTAAATGAGAGCCTCTGGCACAGGTAGGAAAAAACCATTAAAATGATCCTTTGGTAAATGTGTTGTGAAAATGCTACCTTGTTTGAATTGGTGCAGGGTATGATAAGAGAGTGAGTTTATGGCTGATGTTGATGAACTTTTGGGTTTCACTTACAGATGGAGATCTTCTTCAAGGACTACCCAGATGCAGGAGCTGGTAAAGCAGCTCGAAGTCAAGCACTTGACCATGTTCGGAAAAATATCAAATGGCTGAGTCAGCACAAGAAAACTCTTGAAGACTGGCTTGATGCAGTTTGATGTTCTCATGTATGTTGCATGCCTTGTTGACTGACTGAACAAGAAGCCAATCAATAACTTGCTTGTGGTTTATTCACGGTGAAGATAATATCACACACACAGAAAATATTGACATCATGACAGTAACTGAACTGATATCACTAGGAAAACTGGTATATTTTGAAATAATATAAAATATGATACAGTATTTTGTTAATATTTCAAAGCACTCTTTGTATGTTTCTAATTCTTGATCAGTACAAATAAGCCTATATGATAAGTGAGATGTCATAAGAAAACCTAGAAGTTAACTAAATGATTATTGTTTTGTGTAAGTGCATAGTGTGAAAATCCTTATAATTATCAGTATTTCAAGTTTTCCCATCAGTTTATTCCCTCCCAAAATTTTCATATTTTCCTAGGGAAAAACTAGGCTTTTCCCCTGCCCCATATTTTTAGTGATGATGATCAAATATGTTCAGCTTCTGTTACCTTATGTGTGAATATGTGAAACACTGCCACTTGGAAGGCTGAGGATATTATAAGATGGACCTGATGACAATGTCAATGTGTTAGATATTAATGAATACGAAGAGGGCTTTGTACCTAAACTGAAGAAAGGCAAAATATTTCACAACCAGGTCAGCTTTGGGCTGACTGTGGAGTAATGTGTACCACAAGCTGCACGTATTCCCTGGACTGGAATGAATGTTCACCAGGTGGTTCTTTCAATTACCAAAAGAGGCTACTATTCACTTGGTGTCAACATAGGACTCGTATGGATGATGTGTACAATCCACCATTTTTCTTACGACTTGATACCTTGTTGCAAATATAATGAATTTTTGCACTATTTATGATCTATTAATATGATGGTGCCAGAAACTTCCAAATGTATACAAAAGGTAGTATTTACTACTCTTGTATTCTGTAACATTAATAGTTTTTATGCAGTACTATTGAAAAATCCTTCTATATAATACAACTCATCCTACTATGTTTTAAAACTGTAAAAATTGTGAAATTAGTTACCTAACTCTGTCTTATACAAAGGGCAGAATGTCTACTCAGGTAAGAAGCACTGATTATGTTGTGCCATCTCCAAATTTCATATCAAATGGGGGATAAAAAGCCATCCCACTATATGCCACATATGTACTTGGTGGTGGGGGAAAGGAGGTATCCCATCCCACTATATGCCATGTACGTACTTGGTGGTGGGGGAAAGGAGGTATAGCTCCTACTCATCATTCTTAGCCTTGGCACTGGATAGGGGCGAGTGGTCAGCATCACGCACCAGTTGCGCTTTACCCCTCGGAAAGGACCCCAGTACCCATTATATAGGAGGCTGGGTGGGCCCCAGATCCAGTCTAGATGCAGAGGCCAGAGGAAAATACCTCTGCCCCTGGCGGGGATCGAACCCCGGTCATCCGGTCCGTGAGTTACTGTACTGACTGAACTGCCCCAGCTCTTTTATGTTGAGTAAACTTAAAGGGAAAGTAGGACTATAATTATATAGTTAATTAAAAGATTCACTCATATAGAGGGGTTTAAACTTGACCCAGAATCTTCTTGTAACCTGAAGTGTGTATTGATGTCATTTTTGCACAGTTAATAGTTAGGTTTTTGTACCTCAAGATAATTGCCTAATATGAAACAGGTGACATGATTTATTTACATGTTATGATCAATCTTACGAGTCAAATTTGAGCTGCCTTTATATCTAAAAATGATACATATTGTTCATTGTTTATAAAAGTACTTTGTGACTGGAATAACTCGTAAGCATTCATTCTAGTACCTTATGTCAAAAATACTTGATGCCCTAAAAACGGAAGATAATATTGGCAGTATCACTTATTTTGTTCGTAATGCCTGACAAGTTCTTCCAGTTCATTCATCCAGCCAAGAGCAATGGCCAGATTTTTTACACTTTCAATTATATCATCGGACAAGATGGCATCATTGTCTCGATTACCAAAACTTCCTACTGCTGTTCTGTTAAGGAGCAGCCTTGGGATGTTGAACTGTACAGCATCTGCCACACTGGAAAATGGATATACCTGCAGGCAAAGTATGAAAATGAAATCACAATACTTCATGTAAATTATAGCCAGTGCTGTAATTTAACTGTGGTATATGCACACAGTCCATCATGCTGGCTTTATAAAATTTTGGACCTTTTTGAATATCCATGTAAATATGCAAAATTCTATGTGCAGAACTGTGCACATTACCATTGTTGCAATAATGACAGCTGATATACAAAGACAGCAATGCAGTATTACAAAAGAGTGCACAGACCAAACTTATTTGGAAGCTAATTACATAAAAACATGCGAGAAATGTTATTGCATGAACTGCTTTGGAATGTTCCATCACTTATCTGGGGAAATACCAAGTTAATTCAGTAACAGTTGTTATTGTACATTGAATACACAAAGAGACGAACAAAGATTTAATCCAAGCCTTCTCTCAGAAGTATTTTCAGTGATGACATTTTCTCTCATAAAAATGCATACGTACACGTGTGTGTGTGTGCACATGCTTTGCAGACACGCACATCCAATAAATTTTCCTAACTGTCATACATGATTATCAGACTGGTACACACCAAACATGAGTATTTAAAAAACAGGATATTCCTGTATTGGAATGCTTAAGGCCACTGCATTTCAATTGTAACAGTGTCTTTAAAATATGCTAAAACTGCAAATACCAGGAATACTACAAACAGTTATGTCGGTTACTCACGCTACGCATGAACTTGTGACATCAGAATATAATCATATAATATACTAATACTTAGTGAAGTAATTCTGTTCTGTTTGTCCTTTATGTTAACATAATCGTACCTCAAGCGATGTTCCAATGACTATGAGGAAATCGGCAAGTGAAGTATCCATCTCATGTAACCAAAAACGGTCGGGAAGAGCTTCACCAAAGAATACAATATCAGGTTTCACTAAACCCTGAACATAAGGAAGAAAATTTTATCAAAAACTGAGCTGTCTTCTTTGCAGATCATAAGCTCAGGGACTTTGGCCACAAAATATTCCATATGTAAAGCCAGTGGTTCTAAAACTTTTTGATTCACTGGCCAGTGGGATTTCCAAGGACAAGTTCACTGTCTCAAAGTGTGCAAATAATGGTCTACAAATTTTATATAAAACACGCATACAAACACACTGTCAACACTTCGAAGGACACCAATGACGAAAGCGTTTCGACCTCAAGAGGTCATCATCAGTGGCAAAAAAACAGGTTAATTCATATAATACAAATCATAAAGATTATGGAGACAGCATGATTCTCCAAAATGTTGGTGTCTACCTATGAGTCAACAGAGTGTCAGTCTAGAACAACGATAGGTTTGTGTACCTGTTTGCTACCACTTTGCCATTTAAATAAATCCCCGTCATTTAAAGGTTAATTATACAGTTCTGTCTTAGATTTCTTATGTATTCAAACATGTTTCAAAAGCGTGACTAAATTCTTACTTTGCAGAATGATCTGTCACAGTAAACAGTTTTGCCTTGTAAGATGGCTTCTCGAGTCTTGTATGGATCATGTTTCTTGGAACACCGGATGCAAGAACTGGTGCTAAAGCCTCCATGAGCTTCTACCAATTTCTCTTCTGGTATGCCACTCACTTCCAAACATACAAACAATATTGAAATTTCAAGTTTAAAAGCTACTTATGGCATCATTTCACATAGCTTTGAATTATGTTGTATATTTGGGGACATTTTTACTTATTTAATGTTGCTTACATACAACCCTTTTTAAAATTTATTTAGGTAATTAACTTCTTCTGAGACACATGCACAAATGTTTACATTTGCCATACTGCATTGCACTGGTGCCAAAACTGCCCAGATATCACAAATGTGGCATGTGACATATTTTGAACATTCATTTGCAGCACATTTATAATTGTGTAATGAAGTAATACCACATAGTAATCCTGGTCTTATTTATGTCTAGAAAGATTTTCAATAAGTTATTAATATACTTTAGGTCCAACTTTTATTTACATTTATAAACTAAGGAATGAAGTAAAGTCCATCTGAGGATTTACTGTGATGGAAGATTTGTATCATGGCAGATACCACTATTTTCAAACATGTAACCCCCTAAATTTTCTCTAGCTATTCAAACAGAGTTTTAACTGCTGTCATGAACATGTTATTCCACACTGGATTTTCATACAATGTAACTAACATATATCCTGCTGCAAGTTGGAACTTCACTCATGTATTATGGAAATGAGACTATTCCACACATTATAATTTGATAACAGTGACTTGTTTCTATACTACCAGTCCACAAAACAATAGACAGTTATGAATTAAGAGAAAACTTACATCTTTCGAGGCCATCAATATTCTGTGTGTACATGCGGAGCAACTTTCCCTTTTTATGCAAGAGGTGAACAAAATGATGTCCCAAGTTTGGTTGATATTTTCCTCCAGGATACAGTTCCTTTGCCAGTGTTAGGAACGGACGTGGGTCTTTCTCAAAGTAAACAAGATCAAAGATTGCTTCAGGGTATGGTAAGTTGTACTGCTTTAGGTTGTAATAAAGTCCCGTACCTGGAGACCTGAAGGTAAGCTGTTCTAAGTGTCATAATTCTGTGTGTGCCAAGTCACCTGCCGCCTAACAAAGATTAAATCTGTAACAACATTATTTACTCTCTCAGGCAATATAATAAGCTGCACACATTCAGTATTTGAGCTGGGGCAGAAACCCATATGCATGTTTTAAAATTACTTTTGGAATTGGTAAACCATAAATTTTCAGATGCTATTCTGTGCATCTATAGCCCTGGAGTACCTACTTCATGCACAACTCCACATTCTACAATGTCCCAGGATACCTTATGAGCATGCAGTTTGTCCATTGTCATCAGATCATTCATCTGGAATTCATAAATGTCAATTATTTAACCCAATACTGGTTTCAGAAGAAATTTAATAAAACTTATCCTCATGAAAACTTACTGCTGAAGCATTAATTTCTTAGTGTATTTTCCAGTTAGGGCTGCCACTTTATGACTGGCTATATGAATACTTCAAATTTAACCTGCCAAGATATACAAAATTTTGCTTCAGAAATTAAATAAACACTGTTTCCATGATGGATCTTTGAATTTTCACATTTTGTATGCTAAAAAGGCACCTGTAAGTAACGTCTCTTACAACATTTCTGTCTGAATCTGACAACTAAATATTGACAAACAGAAAATGTGGCACAATTCTGAAGACCATAAAACTCACACTTACTGGAATGTGGTAAGAAATTAAACTGTGGGGCAGGACTGTGACATATTATCCATACAGGAATATATAAAATTCTACAAGAAAATAAATGCAACAAGCACATAAAGTATGCAAGTCCTAAAAGGACTTACTGATTTAAACTGCAAGGCACAGAAGTGCAAGAATGTAGGCTATGTGCTCACCTGAAATCTGGTATTCCACTTGGTGTACTCAACCCAGCTCCTGCCATAACTAGCACATTGCTACTTCTCTCTTTCAAATGATTTGCAAAGCTCTTCAGAGAATCCGCAGATAAATTAAAATCCTTACTGAAATACCTCAGGTGGCATGTCACAGGTTGTAGAGAAACTAAAATGGGATATTAGCCTCTTATATATGTCAATATCTTAAACAATTAATTATGTGGAATAACGAAAACCTATGACGATGCCAAGGAAAATACTGAAAGCAAACTTAACCTCAATGATCATTGTAAACAAAAAGCTAATAAAGCAACTTTAGACAAGCCAAATAAATAATTCTTGGTGTGATACTAAAATTAACAAGGCGACTTAAAATATGTGTGTGCAATGGTTTGCCTTTCTATATATATATTATTAACAAAATAATTATCGAGCATACCAAATTTCAAAGCAACGTAAGACGTCTGTGACCGCTGCCACAGAATTCTCATTACTTGTAAACTTGATGACATTGTACCGAATACTTCGCAGAACTTTCGTAACTTTTTCCCCCGTTTATTTCACACTATTCAAAATTTTTCCGCTGAACACGAAAATTAAAACCAAGTTTCTATCGACAGCAGTTTCCGAGTGACACAAATTTTAATATTTAGTAAAAGATCAGAATGGAGAGTTTGAAACTGCTTCTTCTTCCTATTCGGTAACACCCGTCTTATGGACACAACGCTCACTGCGCAATTACATGACCACTGTACTTGACGTCGTCCCTTACTAGATTAAGCCTCGTTCACACTACTCAAATTACTTAAATGCAAGTCGTTTGAAAATGAAAACTTGTAAGGCCTTAACTAATGTGTACAGTGTTTCAAGCACATTTCAAATTTACTAGAAGCACTGTTTAATTTCGAAACAATACAGACACCAGTTCAACTTTTAAAATGACATGAGTAATAACTGGGGTAACTTAGTACAGTGACTGAATACGGCCTTTACGACCCCCATTAAGGGCAGAACTTTTTTCGTCCGGACAGGCTCTGGGGCCCGCCTGGCCTTCTGTCCGATGGGTCCGGAGTCCTTCAGCGGGGTAAGCGCGGCCGGGTGTGACGCTGACCACTCACCCCTGTCTAGTGCCGAGCCTAAAAATGTTTAGGACCTGTACCACCTCACCCCCTCACTCCGCCTCAAGCGATTACATGACGTACAGTGGGTCACCTATTATAAAAAATCGAAACATTTGTCATTAGGTTTTCGCGGCTCGAGTTCAATGTAAAACTTCAGCTTTCGGGAAAGATATGCATCTAATGTTACGTGTTGAAACCAACGTTTCTGTAAACATTGCAGTTGCAATTTCTTAAAGCCTTGAAAAATTCGAACGACTATTTGACGCTCCAGTTTATTGGGGCGTATGAAAGCAGTTGCTATAATTGAGAAGCAGATTGTATGGCTATAATTTCTTGTTGTGAACGTTCATAAAATGAGATATAAGTGGAGTGATAGCAGAGTGGGAACTCATTTCTCCCTTTGTCATCTTCCAAAAGTTCTCATTGCTCTGTGAGTCCAGTGTCTCACTCCACCCTTCCAACATCCACTCCTTCAACTGATGGGTTACCGACCTCTTGAGGCAGTTGACCTGGGTTTTCAGACCGTGGTTCCTCTTGACTTGCCACTGTATCCTCAGTTTCTTAAGGCATATTCATCCTGATTACTTGTGCGTAGAGAAGACTGCGGGTCAGCACGGGGTCAACAATTAGGAGCCTCTTGAATGGCGCTGGTCAGCTCCTTGACGAATTATTCAATTGCCTCCTCGTCATTTACCACGGGATTCCCAGGAGTCTCTCTTCAAGGCAAGTCCGGAATGTGGATGAATCCATTCGTGTGAAGTTAGAAACAGTCGTAAGTACTGGTAGGATGATGTCCTTGACAAACACTTTTTCAAGGATGTCGGTGGTCGCATTGTGTGTATGCAGTCGTCGTTTAGGGGAGCGAACCCCTGGCTGTGATCAGCCTAGAATTCCTGTCTATGTGAAAACGGTAAATCCTTCACTTGTCTGGTATCCAACACTAGGTGTTTGGTAGTAATGACTATAGGATGTGGAATAAATCATAAAGTACAAAACATAGTTGAGTACAATTTGAAATATTAATTAGGTTTCACCAATGATGAAGGTTCAACAAACAAATATTATGACATTAGACTAAATCTACTGCTATACAGCAGACATGTTAATCCTGATGATTTGCAGTATATAAAAGCAACAACCTCTAGAAGGATTATGAGTCCATTTTAAACTGTAAGAACTCCTCAACAGAGTAAAAGGTTTGTGTATTTCAGAATCTTGTACCCAACCTGTAGTTGCCTTGAAGGGGGGACTGTTTATTTTCACATTGAAAAATCAACTATACTCCTCTTATTCTCAAATGTGAATTATAGAAGAAGTAAAATAAATAAATGCAAAAACTACAATGGAAATCAAATTTGAGCTGCCAGCACCATACACAGACACGCTATGAACTAAACAATCACCAACAATGTAAGCATGCCTAGTTTTATGAGACTTATAAACAAATAGTAAAGTATATAGAACATAAAATCCTGCATTAAAAAGAAACAGTGGGGTGTCGACTCTTAATGTTTTGGGAAAGAAATTACAGGAGGGTCTACTGCCATGATGCTAATCTCCAAATGCCTCAGTTGATGGGGTCCCTTGTAAGAAGTACATAACTTGCTGCTACATTTTCAAATGTAAACATACAAGAGTACTCTGGGTGACCATCAAACTTTCTCCGAGTCTGTTACATAAATCAGCCATACTGATGTCCGTCTCAAGCAACACGTCAGAGAACACAAATGAAACCCATGTGAAGTTAATAAGTTGATTAACAGTGAAGCTGCTTCATTTAAAATGTCATGTTGGATCTCCAATTGACTCAATGCTGAGACAAATGAGATCCATGATGCAAAGTGTCAGAGAGAGAATATGCAGTCTCTGTCATAACACAAAACGAGATCCTATAGTTTTTATATGAATATATATTAATATAACAATCATGTAGATGAAGGTTATTTTCAGACAATGCATAATATCTGATACAAACATTACTTTTTACATGTTAATAACTTTTTCTGCAATCTTCTTGACACGTTCTATGTGATCATTTCATTGACCTTTCCTCATTTCTAACTTTCTGAAATGGATATTTCCTTACACAGTCTTGAATTATGGATTATCAGTGAAACTGTAATTTTAATTCAACATATCCTTTTCACCAATGTAATGCTGATTACATTAAGTAATGTAGAAATGACTTCTTAGCGTAGAGTTCCTGTACCTATTCATGAAAGAATTTCCATAATCAGGTACCCAGTAGCAATGCTGCTATATTTTGTAGACATGTAACTCCAGCTGAAATCTGTTACCAACAAAGTTGTTTATCTGCTGTGAGAAATTTCAATGTCCGTTGAGTTATGAGCCTGTAACAGAAAAAAAAAATTGTTCCACAGTTTCTGGCGTCAAGGATTACTACAAGAAATAAATACATAAATAAAAGTTCTGTCTGTTGAACTACTTAACTTTCTTATTTTATATGGGATAAATAGAAGATCCAGGAGAATTCAGATCCACTAATACTTTAATATAATTGACTTAAAGCAACTAAAAGAATAGTAGCCAAAAACAGGGATGCCTGGAAGAAAGTTCTTTGGGAAGCTGAGGCCCGCATCAGGCTGTAGAGTTAATGATGATGATTAGAAGCATTTCTAAAATTACTATGACTGGAAGCATGCAGAGCATCTTCAGTCACAGCAATAACCTCTTGTTCAATGCTGAAGTGATCACCTTGTAAATGTGGTTTCACTTTTCAGAAGAGAAAGAAACTGCATAGAGAGGCCTGACACACAATTTGAGATGCTTTAAAAGCAGATGTGCTTCAGCATCAGCAAAATTTTACGTCTGCATGATGTTCCAACTTCAACATTTTTTACATTAAGGAACTGTGAGTCAGTTTATGACTGCATTTCACGTGCACACAGCAATAAAACACTTGCTATATGATTAACAAACTTCTGCCTATGCTTATGTGCAGGTTAAAACTTGCAAACTGACAAGAGCTAAACATGCTCCATTTATTAAATGCAGTGCCGTACATTCAGTCTGGGAAATTTTTGGCTGTGTTACATAATAATAATAATAATATTTCTCTTTCATGTTAACAGAATATGATTAATATCACTCGGCCTTGCTTATTGTAACACGTCACCTCATTGTATGAATTGGCACAGCAGATGCATATAAGACGCACAATAGTGTTGCACCATGGCGTAATGCATGGCACTTATGGTACTCTGAGCACCAGTATGTTTCAAGTGCTGCAGAAGTTGAAGGCTGCTCACAAGCTGCTGCACCTTCTGAGTTGTCTGAGGAACAAATATATATGAGTTACTGAACTGTTTAGCAAGAATAGAACAAGAATTTAGTGTTGTAATAAAAATTTTTACACAGTAGAGTACAATGCTACAAAGCACCAAAAATATGCAAGAGTAGTTCTTCCTTTGTATCAGTCAACCTCTTACATGTTCAACCTTTAAAGTGACAGGCATTTAAATCCCCATATCATCTGTGGGCCCAATTTAAATCCCACCGTTATGCTAAGCTGTGCACATGTTTTGATAAAACAATGTATCTTTCTTAAGAACCCCACAGACAAAAATGAAATAAAATACACATTATTAAAAAAATGTTACTTTGCCAATGGGAAGTGTTGCTCAAGATGTCACTCTGGAAGATTATTTATAAGTTAAAAGAATATTACAGATATTTAAATTTTCTGCTATTATAAGTTTTATATTTTAAAAATATGGTAATGTTATTAATGTATTTACTGGGAAATGTGAATGCATCACATGAACTTCTCTTTTTCTACTGACAGACAACTATAATATTCTTTGTTCCTGTTAAACACGCACGTGTGTAGTTGTTTTGGACAATACGGGACTTCAGAGCAGTCCATGTTTCATACCAGAAATTTCCCTCAGCTGCAGGTGGGAGTCATATACTTCCATCTCATGCCTTTACAACACAATGCTATGACGTCGCTATGACCTATACTCCACCATATCCCATTTCTTTCCTCTGGAGGTTCCGGAATCAAAATTCGGAGGAATTCATCTGTTATGCCAAAAAGGGTCACAGTATGCAATTTTCCTGTAGTGAAGGCAATCAAATAAGTAAGAAAGTCTAAAGTACTCTAATTATCCATGATCCATGTAAAATTTGTGACCAACATTCCCCACTCCTCTTTTAAATTGCTTAACAGTACCATGTGTAGGTGTCAGATCAAATAATGTTAGTGATATAAACCATGTGCTGCATTTTGCATACTGCTTCTTTAATACCTGATGAATGATTCATAAAAGTATCTGCCACTTGGTGGTAGAAAGTTCGAAGAACATCCAACCTATGGGCTCCACTAGGTGATTGAGACTCTTTCTTTCCTGCATCTGCACACTGGTTTCGAGAAAGCAAGAATTTGCCTGCTTGGCGATCCACCAGTAATATTCTATAACATATTATGAACCAAAATTTATGTGCTAATGCTAAAACTTTTGTATTTTAGGTGTCTCATGTTGCGGGAGTAATGGTGATATTTAAAATGGTGTTGATGAACATGGTCTAGGAAACTATGGAAGAAATCATTAATAAAACATGACAGTCACTTCTCAAATGAGAAAGTACTATTTGCTTCTGCTTCACTGTCTGATGTTTTAAAAAACTGGGCAACAGCAAAGCAATTTTTCATGAAAGTCTGTTCAGATGTTCTCAAGTTGTTACATGCAGACAGGTAGCTGGAGTGATTTTAACAGACAATTCGCATGGGTTGCAAATGCACCAAAAGGAACCAATACAGATGATAATGCTGCAGTAACTTATAAAATTTAACACTTTAGAGATTGAGTCATTCCTTTGGTATAAAGCAACTGAAAACATTTATATTCTACAAGACATTAACCTTACCCCAAGACACCAGAGTCAAGCTGGATGCAAGGAGGGAAGTTCCGAGGAAAGCACCGTTCTGCAGCTCGTAAAATATCAACAGCCCCTTTCCAACACTGAATGGAGACATATTCTACTTCTGTGAGAGGTGGAGATGGTCCACACAGAGCACAAATCTGTATGCCTCCAGTCAACCCACATACAATGAGTCTGAAAGGAACCTGCGGCAAGAATCGTTGTCAACAAACATCTAATTTCAGTTTCAAATTGTTTGAGTGGAGAAGCAGACATGGATGAGGTAATGGAAACACAGTGAAGTCTTGTTACAGTTTTCTCACATAAAGCATTTATTTTTATGTTCTCAGCTTAAGACACTGATACTCAGACATCATAGAAGACACATTTTTGAGAATAAAAATATTCTTAGTTCTGTTTTCTTCCACAGAAGTATTTAATATGTAGACCTCTATCTTACATTCACATTTAAAACTGTGAGTATATATATGAGAGAGAGAGAGTTTTTTTTTTTTGGCGTTCACTTATACCCCAAAAATGGATATGCCAACTTGCACCAAACTTGGCATGCTTATCTTTCAGACCAGAGAGATTTCAGAGAGGTCAAAACTCCAAAAATTTCCTGAGTTTAAAGGCAGCAGATTCTTTTACTTGAAAACTAAGCATGATAGAATGGGACCCATACCAAAGTTGTTTCAGCAAGGAGGAACAGAGGTCACAACCATGAAAATATGTCCTAGTTTCAAGTCTTGGTAAAGATGATTTCTATAGCTCAGAAACTAAAGATTCTGAAACTGTAAAACAGTGAAAGTATTTCCAACATATGGCAAGAAACAGAAAGATTCAATCAGATCAGCCTCATATATAGGAGGCAATGTAACTGTTTCACTCACAAGGAGTCTTGCAGTTTGTTAAAGATACCTTCTATCTTGCTGCTTTTATAGGCCATAATAATAATAATACATTTTCATGTCATTATGTGAAACTGCAATCTCACTTCATGACAATTTTAAGGGGAATAAAATACCTTAAATAAGAAATGAAAATCTCACAAGATTCCTTTAGAATCACGCGACCATCGTTAGAAAACATAACATACTCACAGCTGGACTTTTACAAGGCAGGAACACAGGTATGTCACAGGTCTTGCAGGTTCCTTTGACAGACACAAGGAGTGCAAGCAGTTTCTTTTCCTCCGGATCAAGTTGCCACCAGCTAGATGTGGCCACAGCTACACAACCTCGGATTAACAGAAATCCATAGAGGGAGTCCATACACTCTGCCCAAGCATCCACCAAACTCTGCAGGCAGCCACAGCCACATTTACAAAATAACTTCATGATTTGGGTAGATGTTAACACATCTGACCTCTGCATGCTGAACTCCAAAAGCAATGCCACAGCACATGAATGTAGATGATAATATCTGGATCCGGTCTCTCCAGTAACTTACCTGCAGTAAGTGATTCTCTGGACATAGCATGACTTCTACTAAACCCAGAATATCATTGTTGCAGGTTGCTGTCAGGTCAGTACCTGTTGCTTCCACACATTCCAACAGGTGATCTACTAAAGGGTAGCAAATCTATAAAAATAAATTATCCCATGTTAAAAAAATGTGTGCTACCTATAAACAGTATTAGATTTTTAATTTTTGTTATTCATTATAATAACTAGCATAAGGTATAACACTTTTGTAGAATGTAGCATTTGAAACTACAGAACATGCAAAGTAATTCACTATTAAAACATGATCACTTTTACACTACACTGAAATTAAAAATGCAGTAACATTTTAATGGGCATCACACAGGGAAAGACAAGTTATAAATTTTATAGGTTTAACTGTGACGTATTTTACATTACATTAGCACTTTATATGGCTGCCCACAAATATATAGGATATCAATATTAAGTGCAAATAAAACATGACTTCAAATGGTATAATATCCATTCGATATTTCATCCAAATCCATCCAGCAGTCCTTGAGATGAATCATGTGGACAATCAGACGTGGTCAGCTATATGTTATGCATGAGATCTGTTGAAGGAACCGCTAAAATTTCAAATTTACGATACCAATCAAGAGGAATATCATATATTTTCACAGAATAGCTCTTGTATGTCTGTCGTTAGTGCTATATTTTTAAATACAAATTTTTAAGTTCTTTCTATGGCTTTGATTCCTTTACTTGGAGCATATTGCAGTATGGCTTGTGGATTAAACGATAAAGTCATATGAGGTCTAACAACTGAATAACTTTTCTCTGTCTGATTGCAGAATGATCCTAATGTAAACCAAGAGGAGGGGCAATCAATCACCTTCCATCCACCACATGACTGCAGGGAGACTGGTGCACATTCATAAGAATTATTAATTATTATTATTATTTAATAACTTCTCTGTCAGATATTAGCCAGGAGATTATAAACAACATTGAACTACATTTGCTATACATTTTTTCAATTTATTAATCCCTCCCATGAATTAATTTTAAGCATCCTGGACAAAACACATTTTATCAATTGACAAAGAGAATTCCAGTAGGTCCTGTCCCATACATAAGTTCAGTACTAGTATTTAAACCACAGAAATGATATTGGTTTCATCCATCGATAGAGTACACACTGATTATGGATTATCGTAACTGATAAGGCCTTTGTTTAATATCACTGAGCACATGAAGAATTCAATGTGGTTGCACAGCACATCACAAGGTTATGCATTATTTCTTAATGTCACAACCATGCTGACCTGCACTTTCATATAAAATGAATTATGCATTATTAATTTGTTTCCCAAAAAAAGTCAACCAAGCATACTGTCTGCTACGTTTTGGCACATGTGGCATCAAATTCATAATATGCATACGTACATTGGCCAGACAAATGAATTTCACATCACAAGAATGAACCTTCCAGAGCAGCACTTTCAGTAAAAAGTGATTTTTGGCAAAAACAACAAATGCCAGTGCTTGAATGTAATCACATTTAATTGATTTGACATTTTCATCTTTCTGAAACTAATTTTGAACCACTGGGAGACATTCAGGCAATGTGACAGGAATGAAAGGACTTTCAAAAAATTAAATTTCCCAGCAGTGTTTCCTGGTGTGATGCAGATTTTGTGTAAAGCCAAAATATAAATAATGTTCTGAAGGTAACGGTAATCACTAAATACAACTTACAATATATCTATGTTTACAGAATAAGTTCAGTTATTTGTTAGACCCCATATATTTCTCCACAACTATATAAGCCTAAGAAGGCTTCAAAAATAAAATTTTATTTTATATTAATGGGCAAACCTCATGCTCACTATTTGTGTTTCCATATAAGACAGACTTAAATGTTCTTTGAGCTTCCACAAAAGCAGTAAATTCAATTGATGAGATTGATAACTACATAAAATTCACTGCATTGTAATTTGATTAAGAAACGGCACCTATTCCTCATGTCAAAAACTTCAATAGTCGCCTACACATGACATACGTTACCCTGAGCTCTCTCTTGAGACGTTCCGCATTACGAGTTGAACATAATTCATTAATACCAACAGCAAGCACCATCGCATGAAAAACTGAAGTTAGCAGTTGATCAAGAAGCATTTCACTAGCTCCACATGCTGCAGCAATTAGTGTTACACTGCAACAGAGAGAGATGTTGGCTCATCAATGAAAACTGTTAGGTGTTGTAGTTGATGTTTATGAAAACATTTATGTCAAAATTAGTCTTAGTATTGCACTAGTTAGCTACGTGCAAGAAACCTAATACTCGTCATTCACTGCTGTGAAAATATCAGACCTCACACTGGTACCTGTTGACACATGGGTTAGTTGTCAACATCTGGAAAGCTTTTTACTTCAGTAGTGTTATGCTGTGGAATCATTAAACATTTTGTGTAACATGCACAAGCACCTGAGATCTGAGGTTCTCATGGCAGTAAAGATGTTCACGGTCTTCAAGGTTGAAATGCCGAGTGGACTTGTATGTAGATACTAATGTTTCACAGAAACATAGTGCCTCGTCATGTCTGAAGTCCATATAGCATTACAACCCAGATAACTATTACTGACATGCATAAGTAACTATCACCTACATCATACATGCTTTCTCTGTGGGAGTGGATTTTTATTTGGTATGGTATGAAGACCAAATAAATTTTTAAATGTTTTTAAAAGTACTGGGACCTTCCTTTCCTTTGTACCTTTTGTATATTTATCTCATTTCCCTCCTTTCTTCTGTATTAATTGCACATTCTATCATTATTCTCCTCCCCATTTCTTACATCTTCTGTCTTCCATCACACAGGTAGCTCAGTAAGTACAGTGACTGACTATGGGCTGGATGACCAGAGTTCAATTCCTGACAGAAGCAAAAAAAATTTCTCATAGCTGTCATGTCTAGACTGGCCCTGGAACTTAACCTAACCTACCCAATAGTTATTGGGGCCCCTTTTCCAAGGTGTGAAGTTGACCACTCACCTCTGTCTACTGCAGAGGTCAAGAAATAGTGGAGATGTACCTCCACTATCTCATACGTCTTCATGGCATAGTGCTTAATAAGTACCAGGGACAACTTTACCTCCATTTTTCCACATTTCTTTCTTTCATACCTTTTCACATCAAAGTGAATATGTAAGCCATGATGCAAACATGTGCAATTAAAAATTAATATAGTACTCTGTAAAAAAAATACTGCTCAGGCCATGCTGGTAAAGGAGAATAACTATGAAAAATATCAGCCATGATTTTGTATTCCATAATTTCAATGTCCTCCCGAGCACAAGCATACATACTCGTCCAAAAACATCAAACTGTCTTTCATATAATACAGACAAAATATACCTTCTGTGACACACACAGACTTTGTACTCTGCCAGGCTTGTTCTGTTACTCATCTGCATACTTGTGTATCTTGAAAAATTTGATAATAATGAAATCTGCCTTTAAGAACTGAAGAAAAGGAAAAGGAATCAGCATCCTTCAGGTGTGCCAGTCTAAAATGTTGTTTTGGAGTTTCTTCTCCATAAGGTTTTATTCATATGCTGTACTTCTAAGAACTTTTTATTTGACAGATGCCCTGTCAATACAGCCTTTCTTTTAAAATTAAGGCTGCTTAACATAAGGCTTCAAACTCAAACATTATTTTTTAATACTAATCTCATAATGCTGATAAACTTTAACTCATTGTTTTAGTATCATTCCACATAATAATGGACAGGCAATAGGACCTGTGCTTGTGAGTATTCTTTTATTGTCTAATGGAAATGAGAAAATGCAATGTATTCTGTATAATATACATGCACATTTCAGCAGAATTACATTTCCTAAGGAAAAATAAGAACTGTATCTCATTTAAAGAGTTCTAATATACCTAACCTATCCTTTGTGATTGGTTTTAGTGTGATATGATCTTGTTGTGTCAGGGTTCCTTTAATGAGACCGAAATTATGGTCTTGAGAGTTGTCAGCCTGTTCCAACAGTATTAAACATAATTTTGTTTTATTTGTGTATGAGGCAAATTCATGAGTGTTTGACCTATGTGTCGGTATTTACAAAACCTTTCAATATATGATCATCCTAGACAGCCCTCTGTTCATACCTGTCCTCTCTAACCTTCCAAAGGATAACTGTCTCTTGTGTTGATGTGCTTCTCAGTACAACAGAATGTGACTTCCCGAACATGTGAACTCCATTAAAAGATGCAACTACAGAAAATGGGAGCTGTAACAGATCAGGTAAGGTCAATATATTAAACAGTTTTGCACTATGTATGAATGTTATTTTATAAAAAGGTCTCAGGGATGATCTCTAGTTATCAGAACTTGTTTCTAATTGATCTGCAGTCCACATATAGAGAAAAGGACAGCTTTGAAGATGGCTGTCTTCTGGGATATTGTCCTGATGACAGAGGCAGTAAGCTCCTTTACAGTGTCAATAGATATCTATCAGAATATGTCGTGCAACATCCCAGAAAAAAGCCATCTTCATGCTCACTGCAGCAAGAAACTGCAATCTCACCAAAGACGACGATGCTTTTTTCATGCTTTCAGTAAATTATTTCATACTTCACTCATTGCATTTAAAAATTAATGTCTATAATGATATATCTTTTCCTTTGTAGGTTTGGTAAGATTAGGTTACATATGGTCTTTATATATACATAATGTGTGTTCTACATCCTTGGCTTAGGCCTATAAAGGATCTATGGAATGCAAATATTCTATTTCATTCATAGCTTAGTTTGGTATTATGGTCGGGAGAAGGGATGGCGTTCGTTACTGTGGTTTCTCACAGTCATCCATTAATTGGGGTATGATGTGGTTAAGATGTGAAGAATACGGTTCGGGAACTCTATTCTGACTTGCCCTAACCTAAGAAAAAAGAAAGTTCGAAACCTCTCATGGAACTAGGTTCGATGCGGGACCAAACCGTTTCTGCACATTAATAAAATACAGTAACGCAAAAATACGTGAATTTTACAAAATATTACATAAAAAACTAACAGGCTCGCCATTTCCTCTTTTTCTCGTAAACAGCGGTAATCCACCAGAAGTTGTCAAACACATTACATGAACAACCATCTTGTGTGTTGTTTGAAATAAATGTTCACTTCATCACAGATATAACCTTTGTACTACAAATTCATATTCGCGTGCTCAAAACCGCATATTTTCCGATTGCCGTATAAATACCACCTGTAGATTCTACATCGATTTCAAGTTCACAAGGCATAACAACCAACAAGACAACATCTTCACTGTCGTGGTAACCTCATATAATACCGCACCACAGTGAGAACCCAAAATTTCATCAAGTAAAGAGTCAATTAAAATTAACTAGTTAGTTGCAATTTCTGCTCCACTACATTTACAGCAGATTTTAGCAGTTAAACATACTAGAGAAAACCTCAAAGCAATTTAATTTACCAATCGGCGTAAAGTTGGCAATTCGCATACAAATTTACTCAAAGAAACAGATTATTACAACAAAAGGAGCAATTTGGCATCGATTTATTCATACATTCACTCACTAGCAACCTCTCTAAATAGATCCTCTAATAGCCCAATAAGTATTACATTTTCTGGATGTTAGAATAATGTCAGATTTTAAGTCAAAATGTGTTTATACATATGACCAAATGCAAAGCACCTTAACAGATGTGCATCATATATCCCAAAAAATTGGCCTAGAAATTGTGGTAAACATCGACCGGACTACACAGCGCAACAACCCAGAAGACTGTAACCCTGTATACTTCAGACGGAAAGTTATCTCACTTTATATTTTTATATTAAGACAATTAAGAAATTGGGCCCAATTTGTGAAGGTAATGCTACATTCCATACATAAAGTTGGTTCAGAAAATTCTGATATGGATTTATTGTCACCAACTGATGATGCAAATTTGAGATTACACAACACTGCCCTCAAAGTACTGTCCTTCAGCAACTATACACTTTGCTATCAGCTGTACAATTCTTGGAAGTACCACTCAAAACCATCTCCTGGAATGATCTTCAGAGCAGCATCCTTCACCTTGCCTGCTCTATTCAAGTACTGTTCCTTCAGTTAAGATTTCACAAAACTGAAGAGGTTAAAGCCTGATGGCAAGACATCCAGCACTGTCACCTTGGCATCTGCCAAAAAGCTATAATGCTGACGCCTTGACTACTGACAAGAATTCCCAATTGATGGAAGAATTCAGCAAATTGCATTTAAACACTATTTAGCATGCCACCACATCACAGTTATCCCAATGGTGCTTCTTCATAAAACCATCACTACTTTCCAATTTGTGCCCACGACTACTAGAGTTTTAGATTACCTTGTCAAATTATGTGAATGGGGTAATCAGTGATTTCTGTATGAATGAAACCTACCAAGCTTGAGCATCTGAAATTAGAGATACTGAATAGTAACTGATTAAATTATATACATTCCTGATCTGTGATGCTTATTTCTTCCTGCCACCTCTTTCCTTCCATGGATACAGATAATTTTACTCTTGATGTGATGAATATGACCATTCACAAACTAATCAAAGTACATATTAAATTTCAAAATTTTAAATACCTACTCCAATGTCTGTTCACCACGGACATCACCTGAAACGAAGCCGCTTCTTCACTGTAATAAGTCAGTATCTAGCAACCTGTGCCATGGTATGGCCTGAATATACAAAATCTAGCATATTGTATTCTATGTTTTAGGATGATCTTTATCCTGTATTTCCATTTTCCGACCAACAAGCAAAATAGCCAACGTAACAGTTGGCACTGTGCTCATTGCAAAAACAACGAACTTCAGAAGATCAACAGGCAAATTTGACACAAAATAGATTATTACTACCTTTCTTTGTATGTGTTCAACAAATCTGCATCATTTTTCTGTTGTCCATGGCTACAATTTTTTTTACACAAAACATATAATCTAAGAACTATTCTGACAGAGGGCACTGAAAATTCATCTAAATCGCAATTACTGTTTCTAAGTGCATTAATTATAATTTCTGAGTTGCCTACCGTATTATGACAAAGGCAAAATCAATGAACCTTACAAAAATTCACTCGGATTGAACTTTCTTCTTGTCTGTAATGAGGCATTCTGGTTTCTTCATGTCAACAATAATTATTTCAAGTTATTTCTTTTTTATATCAAAATAGCTATGTTCACAAAGAAAACTTCCCCCTTCTTATTTCAAGCAATTTCATTCATTTATTCTTCTATTTGAAAAGCAAATGTTATGGAGAATAATACTGCAAAGGAGTAATAAAGTGGAAAATGCCATGTATTTCATAATAAAGGATTCTGTAAGTTAGGTTCTTCAGGCAGCTAACCAATGTAGTTACAACAGACCAGACATGTAGCTTATGATGAAACAGGAAATCCATACTTTTGATGCGAAGATCTTACAAAAAAAGCTTACTGAAGGCAGTAGGAATGGATCTAGGAGAAACAGAGTATAAGGCTGGGGACTCGGGTCAGTGACAAGTAAAGTATTACTAGCGCTGAAGCTGACCTGAATTTTAACAAAGATTAAATATACAAAACTATGTATATTGTGGACTAACTGTACAGAGTTTCACATTTTTTCCTGATAACTGAAAAGCTCGTGCACAAACATTTAATGGACTACATTCCAAAATACACAGAATATATTTGTATTTGCATTAACTGCACAGGAGAGGGATCTGTCACATGGGTCTAAAAATTAAATTGTAAGAAAGGAAGTGGAGAGCTTTCCAAATAGTGTAGCCCTTCTAAAATCTAAAACATTCAAAGTAGAGCAATTACCAATTGAGTGAAGTAAAAGGCATGGTCTGTGTAACCATGATAGTTTACTGACATATTAATTACAATATAATGCACAAGTTGTTAACGGTTCGATTTGGCAACACGTTCCAGCTCATCCTTCTTCTTGATTGCATATGAATTTGATGAACCCTGCAAAAGAAACATATTCCATATAGAAAATCAAAATAATGCAGTTTTGATACAGAGTATATATGCTCTATTTAATATTAAAGATTCTTTTCTACTAAGATAACCATATGCCTCATGATCAATGATATCTAAGGTTTAATAAAAATTCATCGACTGGAAAAATATAAAAAGAAAGATATTACCTATGATGGAAGTACATGTACTGTGTTTGGTGAACATGAGGGGTTGGACGAAGTGTCATGTGACATGCCATGGCTGGGATTACCAGGTTTTCAGCATATTTCATTTGACAAGTGTGCTACTACAAAATATGATCTGCAGAATACCAGACCCATGGTTGAATTTCAGGGATTCTAGACATCTTATTAAAGATGTCAGTCTTGACAAGAACCCTTTCAAGGGATAACATACTTTGTAATTAAGTAACTGGTATACTTTACAAAACAAAACCACATCTAAAGTAAGTTTTCCTTCAGTTTCAAAAAGCCATGAAAGTAACTACATAATTGGTAAAAATACGTTGTTTGTATTGTATCTGTAGCCATAGAAGACTAAATACAGCAGCAGGACAATTACACATAATATATACTAAAATGCATCATGACAATAATTCGGGAAAATAAAAGAAAAGGCACCAACATTAGCAGCATTGATGAGCTCATCTGCCACACATTCAGCAATTGTCTTGATGTTCCTGAAAGCTGCTTCTCGTGCACCAGTGCAAAGCAACCAGATAGCCTGAATGGAAAAAAAATTGCACTTTTAAATCCCTGATCAGCTTTCTTAACCTCTGTCCAGAATCCTTGGCTAACAAAATCATACCTAGCTACCTAATAACTAACTCTTGAGGAACTGACAGTCACTTGTGTAGTCAAGAAATTCCCCACATTTTATGGAGCCCAAAGGTTAAATATCATGTTCAACAGGAGTCTTTTATATCTTCCATATCATGAGCCAGTTCAATCCAGTCCACACCCTATTTCCCAAATACCTACTTTAATATCATCCTTCCATCTAAACCCAGGTCTTCTGAGTTATCTCTTCTGTCTCTTCGGAGCTAACAGACTCTTAACTCCATACTAACTCAGAAAGACTTACATCACAAGTCATTTTTATAGCTCTGAATGAATGAACGAACGAATGTATATGTGGAAAGTGGAACATAAGAAAACAAACCACAACCCAAAATCTGCACGTGGCAACCATACTGATGTTTTTAAATATATAAATATATTCCCAATTCTTATCTTGATAAGAATGATGTCTGATGGTATGATGCTGACCTGATTAACGCGCCTCAGTGGTGACACATCCACAGCTTGTCTCCTGACAGTACCCGCACGACCAATACGTGTCGAGTCTTCTCTAGGACCAGAGTTGATAATAGCAGTCACCAAAACTTGCAATGGATTCTGCAAAACAGCAAAAGGCAACAAATGTCCGAGTCTGTTGATCCTTCAGCTCCAACTCTGTACCCGCCGATATCACCGAAAGAGCTCATTGATAAAAATGTAATACAATCACATGCCATTAGATGTTACATGGGTAACATAAAACTGTAAACTTTAAAAATTATAAAACTGTATCTACTGTTCTTGTTCAGTATCAGGTGAGATGACAGGGTGCTGATGTGCAGTGAATTTTAAAGGATGTGACAGGAAGCAATTGAGACACACTTCAGGATATTTTATTAACACTTATTTGAAAGCAACAGAAACAGGTCTCGATTAAAGAGGGCAATGACCAAGATTTGGATCACACGCGGCACTTGTAAGTGTTGTTCTTCTGGATAGTAACGTTGTGTAGGTAGATATTAAGATTTAAGAGGAAAATGCTGGGCCCGGTTAAAATGACAGCCCTAAATATGAAAACAATATGTTCCTCTGAAACATACACAGGTATCTACTGACAAGTCGATGATTCATTACTACCCAGAGGACTAACAATGACATTTTCACTACCAAGAACCTAAAATCCCATAAAGGTATTGTACCTATGCTGAAATCATTTAATTTTAATACTATTCAATTAGAAATCACATAAGTTATTTCTTGAATTAGATTTTCTCATGAAATTCCTATAAAATCATTATTAACAACAATGAATAAAACATAAAATATAGTCTTCTTTGATATGTTAAAGCCACTACCATCTGACCTTTGCAAAATCCAACAGACGTACTTCACAACTCATGGAATAAGTTAATATTATGTTAACAGTGACAAATATACTCACTCACCTCCCCTGTCAGTAAGTGAATGATTTCAAAAGCATGTTTCACAATACGGACAGCCATAAGTTTCTTTCCGTTGTTGCGACCATGCATCATCAATGAATTTGTGAGTCGTTCAACAATGGGACACTGTGCCTTACGGAACCGTTTGGCTGCGTATCGGCCTGCAGAATGTGGCAGGTACTTAGCATTTTTTTCCTTGACTGCAATGTAGTCCTGCAAAAATCCAGTAGCAATAACAAACATACACATAATCTGCACTCTGCTCTCTAGCAACAACACAGTAGCACATCAGGTGTCTGCAGCAGCTGACAGAGGAAACCTGTAAGGCACATGCTCATTCTCCATTCTACCTTCAATATCAGAGATCAAAACAAAACGGGTACAACTGTTTGGATATATTTTTATCTTCACTTATTTCGATCATACACGCAAAGACCATATTCTGAACTGAATGGCAACAAGCATTCCCTTAGTTTAATTTCATGTTTCTTCATAAATGGTGCATGACATAAAATTCAAAAGAGAACAAACCAACCTGAAGGGACATATCTGACACCTGAACATCATCACAGCTCCAACGGCCAAACAACTTAATTTCTGGTAACTCTGCAGGCTGTGCTACAGCCAACATAGCCTCAGATTCAGCTGGTAAAACCTCTTCCTCAAATACCTCCACTTCCGCCATGAGTACTGTTTAGCCTACAACACAAATACGGCAATCAGGTCATTAAATGTTCTTCTGTAACAATTACGACAAAACATTTTCCTCAGCAAAACACGTGTACAAATAGCGGTACGCTTCCATAATTTGAACCACTTTTTTATACTCTGAAACTCGGCCTGACAATAATTAAACTATACGCACTCAGCAAGGATTAAACAGTAACACATACATTTTCAGGATACATTAAATACTATTATTTACTTATTCTGTACCTCATACACAAAAATAACTTTACCGGAAAGGGGTCTGTAGCAATGAACACAGATTATTTATTCAATACATTCTTTGCCCGACACGCGCTGTGGCACATCCAGTTAGACATAACAAGAACGCTATCACAGATTTACAAAGTTTGCTGTTCATACTTTTATAATCCGTGACATGCGACCGCTGCTGCTACATACCATGGATTCTCTCTATGGTTGAGCTGCAAGTAAAATATTTTTTCAACTGTGGTTTTTATGTAAAGTAAAACCATCAGAATAATGACAGGCACTAAAAGAATAGCTTCAAGTTGGGTAATATTCCTCCATTAGCCTGTGAATTCTCTTTCTCAAAAATATTATTTGTAGTGTACACCATAGTAAAATCACAAACTCTGCAATATAAGCACAAGATACAATTATAACCTTCATGTGCTAAACACTAATTTAAGTTAACATCAAGATGGAGGTTACTATATTGGAATTATGCTATTCAGTACTTTACCCCCTACTATCAATAAGCCAGCACTAAAAGAGTATCTCCTATCTCACTGCTACCTCCTAGAAGAATTTATTTAACTGAAAAAGTCTCTAATATTAAGAATACATGTAACAGTAGTGATGCCTTTTGTGTAATTATATTTGCAGTAATGATGTATTAGACTGAAAATCACTGTCACAATTATGTAATTTTGTATTTGTATTGGAAACAAGTATTTTATTCGTAGTATGACATGTTCTATATCCTTGGCTTAGGCCAGTGGAATGAAAATAAATTCTATTCTGTTGTACCGCCTCACATTAAATTCCAATAAACGATTGTGACTGAGAACAATGTAACTTAAAAATTATTTACAGTGGGTATCAAGTGAGGATTTCTGAAGGCCTGACAGAAGAAACTTTCTCAGAGTAATTTTAAATATTCAAAGTTAAACTTCTTTATAAAACGGGTGAAAAACTTTGCATCTTTAACTACAGGTATGATGTATGATATGTTCAGCCTGTTTGACTTAGTCCTAAAAATGACTAGTCAGCTCCAGCCAGCCAAGCTTTGTTGTTGGCAAACGATGCATTTTGCCTCATCAGTTCTGATGTGTTCTGGTGTATGGAGTACCACTGAAGCACAAAAGATTTTTCATTTTTCGTTTTTCAAAGTGTTAGCCGGGCTAATACGGTTAACATTAACGTTACGCCTCTGGCTGTATCAGATGTATTTTTAAGGGGGGGGGGCGTCTTCAGTAGAAATCCAGGATTCGAGTCTGTTGGATTACATTTTAAAGGCGGCAAGAAACTTTCGAAGTAGAACCAGTTCCCAATCTAGGGCATTAGGATAAAGGCATTTCTTGTTAAGAGAATCATTTACTTCACGAATCTGTGTTCCCAGACGAAGGGGGTCATGCTCGTTCCCCACACCATACGATGGAGATCGATGCCTGGAATTTAAGTGACTTTAAACATTATTTCGCAGCTGTCATTACCCACTTCAGAGTAAGAGTCCTAGAAACTTAGTGGAAGGAGATCTGCGAGATGTGTTATCTCTTTGAGATTCACAGTCTTTGGACAGGTGTCTTTGACCTGCATTCTGAAATTAAATTTGATTCAGTTCTGTTTCAACCTCTGAGAAGGATAGTTGCGAGCGAGTGGTGTCTGTTCATGACGTCAGGTAGAGCTGGGTTTACTACTGTACGTGATACTATGCATCATTGAAAGTAATATTTCGTTGGACTGATTATAACTAGTACCCACAATTAACAATGACTACTTTAAGAAGATCTTACCTTTCAAGAGTGAGTACAAATTCTATTTATTGCCAATCTACACACATTATATCTAATATACTAATGATAAGGATAACAATAGAAACAAAATTATCACATATTCATGAGGTAAAAGTTCTTCTCGAAAGTATTTCCGAATAAAATTATAACAGTGAAAAGTAACACAATTACATTAAAACATACGTTTTGGTATAATTATATTTTAAGCTGATATACAATTGTAGTAACAATAATGTTACAGAAATAAATTATGGTAAAGTTCGTATTTTTTGTATAATCGTGTGCAATATTAGAGAAATAACTCTGTGATTATATTAACTGTATTATAGTGAATTCATATAATTATTTTTATAATTATCATTATATTATAATTATCATATCGTGACTGAGAAAGATTACCGCGCTGTTGATTACAGAAAAATTCACAAGAATTAACCTATTACAAAGAAGCAAATGAAAAGTCTATAAAATGGTAAAAGTTTATTATAAAATTCTGTAGTAGATAAACTGTGTTAAATTAAAATAGGCTAACTATTAGAGAAGTGAATTCGGGACACGATTTTCATTTGTCTCACGTTTATAAAACATTCGAATAACCCTCGCTCCAAAGTCTATGAACGGTGAAAATATGGCATTTCGCAAATTTTAATATTTGCATCTATTAAAAGGTGAACGGTATATTTACGTAAATGTGACTCATTTTGAACGCATATGTAGATAAGTCGCAGGCGTAATGTTGCCTTTTATGATTAATTATTTTATTATTTACTTACTTAATATACCATGAAAACAGATGTAAAGCATGCTTCACGGTACTGCAATGAGACATTTTTATTTAGTACTATTTACAGCACAATTTTCAAAAAGTTCTTACAGTATATTTACTGTTATTTAGACTGCGTTGAATTTTAAATATCGATTCACTGACTATGATTTATTTCTCATTCGCGTCATTTTAGCCCCCTCCCCACAAAATAAAGTACAGCCATGAGAAATGTTTCTAGGTATTTCAATCTCGAGCTTTTGTCTCAACCTTTTCTACGTCTCCCGACTCCATACTTCCTTCCTCCATGAATTCTGCAAATGTTTGTCCCAATAATGCTAAACATTTAATGCTATAAAGTTATGTTGACAAATAAATATTTGAGATTTGAGGTCCTCACTGCGACGAGTGTAAAGATACTGTCTTCTGGTTTGTAACTCTGTTTAGTCTGGTAAAAACTGGCCAACGTTTCAGGTGTGTTTACTCACTTCTTCCATCATCAGGGCGATAAGCAGTAAGCACCTCTGAAACGTCGGTAAATTTCTACTGGACTACATTACGCAACATCCCAGAAGACAGTCACCTCCATACACCCCTCCGTGAGAACCTGGAATGTCAATTATTACAGCTGTCTGATGTTGCGTGTTAAATGTTTCGAGTCGCTTTTTATTGATTTATATCTATGCGCCACCGGTTAACGTTAGGATAACGGTATCTCGTTAAAGATTCCGTCGGCCAAGAAGTTTTGGGATTGGCATGCCTTGGGAAACAAGACCTCTTACGGATGGACGAAGAAAATGTTACCCGATGCTGCATCTACCGATTAATATTTGATGTTCAATAACAAGACCTTAAATAATACACAATATTTATTAAGTCCTTCTTATACAGCATAAAAGAAATTTCAATGTGACTCATCACAGTTAAGTAACAAGTGTGAAAAGACGCAGAAGACCTTTAGGATCCAAATAGGAATGTGCATCCTGAAGTACTAAGTTCTATGGAGATCTGTCTCCTGGGATATTAAGCAGTGTAATCTGAACTCATCGCCCTGATCTCGGAGGAAGTAAGCACCTCTCAAGCGTTGGTAAATTTCTACCAGATCACACGGCGCAATATCCCAGGAGACAGCCATCGTCGTGCTCGTCGCCCTGGAGTATTCGGGATTATAGGCCCACACCATGTAACACGACCGACGATAATACTGCTAGTAGGCACATCCGTCAAGTTCTAAGTTAGTGTTTAAAACAAAATAAGTTTCCTGAAATTAAAGACTCCAGTTCACTTCTTTCTTAGGTACCAAGGCGTCTGTGCGTTTTCACTATGGTATAATATCACACAGCTTGGATAACGTAGTATCTGAAAGCTATTTCTGTGTTCTGAATGGTATCCTTCCTACATGTTATTGCAGACACCAGTTTCATTTTATTTGGTGGGGGGGGGGGTAATTTCGCTTTCTTGGCACCCAAATACTTAAGTCCCACTGCCGTAAGATAACTGAAACAAAACAATATCTGTAAAAGAAAAACTTCTTTCGTGAAACATCGTGCTTGAAAATAAGGAGAAAAATCAATCCAACACATTCAAAATTTGGTAACGACTTATCCTAAAAAGGTCTTCGTATCATAAGAAATTTTCGAGATCTTGTTCAAGAAAGCTGGAGGGGAAGACGTCAATGCGAACACATGTTACACTACAATCTGCTCTTCAGTTACATAAGCGGGTTACCTAACAAAGAGTATCTGAGCGTAATTGACCAATCTTCTTCAAAAAAGACTGACCGGAGTCTAGACATGCTGGAACTGTTCCTTACACTCAGCGGCAGACATTCTGTTCAAACAAGATGCCGCTCAGTGCATTATCACTGAAGGGTCACACTTTCCCTTAATTCCAAATTCCCCAACAAATAGGTTCAAGTTGCGCCTATCGAGGTCACCCGACTTCACATCCCATGATTTTCATTTCTGGGTTACAGCAAGGACAGAGTTAGGTCCCTCCTCTGCCACGGTCCTTAAGGGAACTGTGAGGCAGAAACCGTTATGTGGTAACGGGTGTCGACGAGGATAAGTTACGTAACGAATGGCTACACCACTTGTAGAACCCACATCGACCACCTATGAACAAAATGTGAATACGGGATCAATTGTGAAGCAATTGGTTTTCAAAAATAAAACCTCGGTCATAAGTCAGCCGTTTAAATAGTGCTTTAGTTTGTGGTCACTGTTTATGATTCTCAACACATGACTAACATGAACGATGTTACGTAATTTGGCAGAAAATTTGTCCTAGTTTCATCAGCCCTGATGATGGAGGCAGTAAGAACCTCTGAGATGTCAGAGAATTTTTATCAGACATGGTGCAACAACCCAGAAGACAGAAATCTTCATACTCACAGCTGTGAAAACCTCAAATCACAGACAGTCTTATATTTGCCGTCAAGAGAACCTGATATATCACCACAGTTAGCTTTGGGTACAACGATGATCCTCAGGAAAATAAATTATTACATAAATACTTGTTTGAAGAGTTGGCCTCAGGTAGCATTGCCTGTCAGGAGACGTACAAGAGGCTTCGAAGTCAACGACCCTGGACTTTACTGAGGGATGAGAGAAGATTCTTATTATGGAAGGTGAATGCCAAAGGCACGACCAATTTACGTCAGCGAAAGTGACGGTATATCTATAATGTTCTGACCCCTAAGAAGGTGAATAAACTTATAATAATATCACGAAGTGAAGTCATTTTAAGAATCTGACAGTCACTCAGTTGGTAATATCCCGCCATCACAGCCTATCGTTCGCGTCGCCACCGTCGGAGCTTAATTTTCTACGTCGCACTCGTTCAGTCAAGTGTGTCGGGTATATTCTCAGTCAGTCGATAACTCAATTCCCACCAGGGGTACAGATTTTTCTCGCCACAGCAACCAGACCGGCTACGAAGTCCACTCAGCCTCTTACCCAATGGGTACCACCAACCTCTGTCTACTTCTGAGAGATTAAGAATGCGAGGAGCTACACCACCCATACACCTGCATGACAACTTCATGTTTGCCAACCTCATAAAACTTTCCGATATCCTTTATACCTCGCGCAAAAATAGTCAGCTGTTACTGTATCCATTGGCAACACAATCTATTAGGAAGTTTTCAGGATTCAGCGGTAATTTTACTGTTAGATGCCTACAAGGGAATAGGACAACGAGCCACAGACGTGTGAAACCAGGCGAGCTTGGCATTCCATCCACATATGTAACGTTCATTATGGACGCTTTCGTGCGCGCGTGTGTGTAGGAGGGCTGTTCCAAATATGCCTATATTTCAAGACTAAGGCGCGTATAGGGCAGATGTGGAAGGCCTGGAAATATATTATTTTCAGAGTATGAAGGGAAAGGATCACCCGAACACTGAGATAAACGAACTTTGATATTGAGGAGCTCTGCTAAATTTCTTCGACATCTGGCCATCAACTACGAAGGGCGCGGAAGTGACTTGGTGGGGAATCCATCTTTGCTGTCACGGTTATATTGGTCACTACGGTTACAGTGTTTACCTGGAAGTGGGGGAATCATCCGTAATGATATCTTCGCCCAGCGAGACAGCCTTCAGACACTCCGCGACCCCAGATTGTCATAATTCGCGTTGGTAAAAGGTCGTACTCTGACGAAAACGCCATAACTGTTACGCTATCTGCATTTGAAAGCACACGATAACATTTCAGGAGCGTAAATTGTGCTATCTGACACTAATACTGCCAAGGAATCAAACAGATGAGGCTAATAAAACTTGGGATATAATTAATTGTCGTTATTGTTTCAGTAATTTGTTGTAATTTATTTGATTGGCTGTTATAAAGCACGTAGATGTATCATTATTAGTACTATTAATTTTGTAATGGTCCCAAGTTCATTCAACGCGCATGTTGGACGTCCCTGGAGTGAGTACATCGGACATTGACACTGATATGAAACATGTTGTTGTTAAACGATACAGCATCTGGCACTGAGACCATGTAGACTGGATGTGGCGAAGTTCCAGAAGATGAAAGTGTCACTACAGTTGGCTTAGGCACTTCGTACATGCAAGATATTCGCCAATCGCTGCAGTTACATTCCTGACAAACATCCGAGTTTGATGTTATCTACTGCAGTTGGCAACACCTTACAGAACACGTCGAGTTTTAGTAATGACCGGCAAATACTAAAATGAGAGCCAAATCCTTGGAGCGAAATCGATTAGGTAGTCAAGAAATTTCTTGTTTTTGACGTAAATACGTCTATAAGGAAGGGTCATTCGGCAAAAAAGTGTAACGAAAAAGGGGAACGAAAAAGTGTAACAATGGTTATCTAGGGAACGTCGTCTGTTTACTCATCATTGTTGTTACCTAGGAAACGTTACATTACATTTCATTAGGAGGCCACGGTGGTCTAGTGGTTAGAACGCTGGCCTTGTAATCCTGGGGGTCTCGGGTTCGATTCCCGGCGGTGCCCGAATTTATAACTTGTGTTGGGCAAGGCCGTGGTCTAGGCATCACGGAGTTTTCCTCCGGGGGCTTCCCCGGTTTCTCCGTGGCATCCCAACA